ACGGTAAGCCGATTTGTTGAAACAGTGCCTAGATCAAATAAAATCGTGCCCTAGACAATTTCTACTAGTCGGCAGTTAGTGGCGTTCATTTTGCTTCCCCAGGAGCCATCTGGGTTAACCTGGTACGAAAGCGAACGCATCTGCGGTTAGGAAGATAAAGACGACGGTTTTTGGTCTAACCACAGGTTAATTATCATGATGCCAGTGACAAAGAAAAAAAGAATAGCAATTGCAATCTGTATATTAATGAACATCTAAGAATGAGCCGTCTGGGCAGGTAGAAGCTCAGAGCATGTCCAGTATAAAAGTATAAACATCATCATATTCCACTCACCGTCCTTACAGAGCAAACACACGCAGTCATTTACAACACTCCTACATTCATGCCAGCATAGATTCCCGCACTGATATGCGTCGCCGATACATGGTGTTCATTGCCAATGGGATTGTAGGGATTACTTCCCCAAGCCCCCCCCCCCCCACAAAGTTGAGCCGCTCGGCGAGTGGGTTACTTCCGTCCTACAACCCGGGTCTTGACCCAAAATACCACGTGACTGCCAAATCGAACGTATTTTGGTAGCTGGCCCGAGCTAGACACCCAGGTTAACTTGGGGAAAGGCAAAATTCGAACGCGCTATAACATCATCGTCTGGAAGCCCGCCGCGCACCGTGAAGTAATTTCTTCACAGATAAAATGACGCATGGAGTCATTTTACTCACGCGCTCATAGTTCCAGCGTCCGCCGGCAAACGTGATCTAAAATTAGCTCAAGGGTTTCTATAATGTGGGTAATGGGCTCACAGGATACGAGAGCATGGTTGTGAGTAGTCGCAGATTCCCTCTGACCACCACTCGCCCCCACACCGACGATTTTGGTGGTTTGGTGTGGGTTAGGTCCAGAGCAACTTGCTCTATGCAAGAAGCGTGGAATTTCTCGATCCCGCCGAGGATCGGCCTGTTTTTCATTGCCTCCAAACTCACAATTGGGGCTATCCGAACTCAAGATCTGATGCAATTATATTCGAAAAACTGGATAAACTTATATGCTTGCTCGCGTGGTTAAGGTACACTTGTACTCTTTTACCCTTAGTCGTATTTCGATTGAAAATTTAGTTGCCCTTAACAATATTCCCTCCGACATGCATCGGCCATCCATCGTTAATCCAAACTGCATTGTGGCTGAAAAACAGCACAGGTAGTATTTGTAGCGTGGTTTCCCACAATGCAGTTGGATTAACGATGGCCATGGCCGATGCATTGTCGGAGGGAAATTGTTAGCAACAAAATTTTCAGAATCGAAATACGACTAAGGTAAAAAGAGTACAAGTGTACTTACCAACAGCGACGCAAGCCATATAAGGTTATCCAGTTTTCCGTATACTGGCATTCAGATTCTTGAATTGATAGCCCCCAATTGGTGTAGTTGTGAGAGGCAATGTGAAACAGCGATCCTCGGCCGGGATCAGGAAAATTCCACGTCTTGCATAGGCAAGTTGCTCTGACCCTAACCGCCACACCAACCACCAAAATCGTCCGGTAGTGGGCATGGGGCCTCAGAGGGAATTCTCTGGACTAGGTTGTGATGTACAGTCCGCCAAATGCAGACGTATAACTCCGTTTGCTAATCTGAGGGGTGCGGCGTTTATCATACTGGGCCGTTACCATTTTACTGGGGTCTGCGCGGCTCAGACTTAGGTTGTGAGTAGCTCCAAGAAACGGTATTGCTAGGGTTAGAATACCCCTGCTCAGAATAACCCTGTACGTAGATATATTGACTGTTAGTCACACAAGCCTCGGTTGGGCTTAGTTTGTGAATGTGAGAGCAAAAGCCGAGTGTTTTACGACTACATAGTTCTCATATCTCGACCATGCCTCCTCTACTCCTCTGTACCGGTAAGGGCAGATAACGTTGGACTTAGTGCGCCAGCAATACTGGGGCCAATGATTTAAATGCATGCGCTCTGTGCAGTACCAGTAGTTCCAGAGCAAATTTACTCAGCGCGGCACACGTTGAGTAAAAGACTGCATTCATGATGTCAAAAATTAGCCAAACACAGGTCTTCGATAATGAGCGTAAAAAGAGCCATGCGTCAATTACTCAACGAAATCCGCCGCAGAGTGGAGTAAAAATGACTCGTGGCGGTCATTTTACTTGCAGATAAAATTTACTCACGTGTGCGCCCGGGCATCTAGGGTTTAACAGAGGAATTGTCTCCCCGACTTGTGACATTGCGAGGATAAAAATAGACCCGCCCACTCCCGGCCGCATACGCTAGCTAAACAAGGTTTTATGCTATGACGCGGCTATGATCGTTCAGGAACCGTCGTACTAACTATCATTATGGTAGCGAAATGATTTTGAGTTACATTTTCATAAATTCTAGCGCCTGTTATAGACACGTGTCTTAACCTTAATCTATATAATCTGTGAATTTTTGAGTCTATTGAAGCACGAATCTAGTCTAATTAATTACGCAAATAATTACGCGCCGGGGGGCGTAATCGCTCGGCTATTTGATCGAGTGAAACGAACCGTCACAAATTTATTTTTATCCTCTAATCACAGGTCGGAGCCCGCAATTCTCTGTTTAGACGCACTTGTGAATTTCTCGCACTTGTCAGATTATAAAATTCCTAGGGGCCACAATTTATTAGTAATATAAATACAGTGCTGAGATGGCTACCGCCTACCATGGCAGTCCAACTTTAATACAGCTACAGTACTATCTGACAGAGATGGCAGTAATATGAATATTTAAAATAATCAGCCAGAACTAATGCAGGTTCACACTCACACACTGTGAGTAAATGAGCTTATGCGAACTGCACTGGCTCAGTTCGGGTCCTCAACGGATATAAGATTAAGAGCTGATCCACATTTGCACATGTTGCACATTGGCAAAATGAATTGTGATGTCAGCCGCTTATTATCCAGAACTGCTCACTTCCAATTCTCAGTTTTGAGGCCCTGCAAAGCGTTGCTTGCTGATAACACTATACAGTCAGACATCACAGGTGTTAGCCGGCCCCAGTGTAAAATGTACACCTGTCTAGAAAGGACAGTTTTGACACTTCTCTTGATTGCCAGTTCTACAGGAAAATCACCTCTATATAAACAGTCACCGTCCACTACCTCTATATAAAACAGTCACCCGTCACGTACCTCTATATAACAGTCACCGTCACGACCTCTATATAACAGTCACCGTCACATACCTTAACATATACACAGTCACCGCGTCACTACCTCTACATATAACAGTCACCGTCACTACCTTCTATTATAGACAGTCACCCGTCACTACGCTCATATAACAGGTGATATTCTTTTTACTACCTCTATATAACAGCACCCGTCACTACCTCTATCATAAACAGTCACCCGTCACTACCTCTAATAGTAAACAGTCACCCTGGTCACTACCTCATTAATATAACAGTCACCCGTCAACTACCTCTATCATAACACGTCACCCCGTCACTACCTCTATTACACAGTCAGCCCGCACTACCTCTATATAACAGCTTCACCCGTCACTACCTCTATATACAGCTCAACCCGTCACTACCTCTATATAACAGTCACCCGCACTACCTCTATAAACAGTCACGTCACTACCTCTATATAACAGTCACCCGTCACTACCTCTATAATAACAGTCACCCGTCACTACCTCTATATAACAGTCACCCGTCACTACCTCTATATAACAGTCACCCGTCACTACCTCTATATAACAGTCACCCGTCACTAAACGATGTTATTTTCCTTTGAATGGTAGTGATGCAGAGTAAAGCCAGTACAAAATAGACACCTGTCCATAAGTGAAACTTTTAGTTTTAGGCATTTAACATTTATTGCATTTATTCTCATATAGCCTTGACTGTATAATTATATAGATTACACTTATAACAAGGACACGTATTTTTGATCTGTACGCATGAAACATTTTCAAATAAAAATTTTGTCTTGACACGACCGAATTTGCCGAGCAATAGTATTTAATGGATTCACTTAAAAAGTTGTTGCTTTTAGGTTATCAAGTCAATGCGCAGTGTGTTCTACACGGGCAGAACAAGGGACATAGTGTTTCGTAAGAAGCAGTTGCAGAATCTGGTCAGACTCATCGATGAAAACAGGGAAGCCATGTGTGAAGCATTGTTCAAGGATTTGCACAAGGTTTGGTGAAGTATTTAGCAGTGGTTTTAGTAGAGCAATGATCCTTGCATGTATTATATATATAGCATTTCATAGATCAGTCATTAATGATAATTTGTCATAAAGTGGAATGGTATAGATTGGTAATTCAAATTTTGTACAATATATTATATATATATATATATTACTAATATATAGGGTCGTTGAATGATCATGTATGAAAGCAACGTGATATGCTTTGTATTTACAGCCCAAGTTTGAGTCAGTCATGTATGAGACTGATTTTGTCAAGAGTGATTTGATGAATTGCATTTATAACTTGGATAAGTGGACTAGCCTTGAAAAAGTAAGTAGCATAATGGCCCAAGTTGAATTAAGGGCAAAATTGCATCCACAGAGCACAGGATAACAAATATTTCATGCGCACTGGCTGACGATCAGCCCCTGAATAAAATTCCCGTCATAGAGCAAACACAGTGTGAGTCTTAAATTGACTACGTCACGAATTGTCTATGGTGCATAATTGTAAAATGAAAAGTAAGTACTAACGCCACTAAAGCTAACTATCAAATTCACTGGTTACCTCGATAAGATAAGTTACCAGGTTTCCTTACCTTGCTTTTTTAAACTAATGTTAAAAAAATCAAAAAAATCTGCGGCGATCGTTCGATTATGCATCACGACATGTGAAAATGCCTTGCTATGGGCTATGTTAGAGTCCCTATATACAGAGAAGTGTACCGCATGACGAGTCGGGAAAAATCCGCGTCACGTGATCGCTGCCGGCATGTTGTTTCAAATGGATCAACATCGCTGCCCGCTTAAGTACAGCCGCTAGTATGGATTCGCGGTACAATCGGATCACATAGTAATTAATGTATACTAATCGTCGCTTCGACATAACTCAAAGATTTTACAGAGATGTATAGCTAAGCACATGTGTCTATGTGTAGCTGAATTTATCTAGAACTGCCAAAACAAATATTACAGACTGCGGACCTTCGCCGAGTGCGAGCAGTGGAACGCATTTTATCTCGTGAATTACAGTTGGTCCATTATTCTCCAAAATGACTCGCTGCTGTGGTTTACACTAAGAAAGTGTACAATTAGTATTCATTATGGCCTTCACTTTCTCGACCGTCCTAAATTTCTCCTCAGCGAACGCATTTGAGTTACATTTCTAGAAATTCTACGATAATCATCAAAACACAGGTCGTTACTCTATGATCTCTGTGATTCTTGAGTTTATTGAAGCGCGAGTGGCTTTAATTATTAGCAAGTCATCTACGCGCGGTACCCTTCGCACCAGGCTAATATAAGCACGGGCTATTGCCGGTCACAGGAAGAAAGTGTACAATTAAAACTATCATTATGGCGCGATACGATTTGAGTTACATTGTTCTATTAATCTCAGCTACACAATAGAGCACATCGTCTTAGCTATAATCTCATGTATAAATTTATTGCAGTTTATTGAAGCCACGATTGTTTAATAATCTTACTTACGCGACCATTGTAGCAGCGTATCAGATACAGCGCTGTACATTAAGCGGCAAGCGTGTTGATACATTTGAAACAACATTGGCGTTAAATCCTGATGTCTGGCGCAACTCTCTGTTATAGGGACTCTAGGCTTATGTATGAGTCACGGAGTGTTTGTCCAAACATCGAACGGGAATTAGAAAAAAACAGGAAGTATAGCATTGCCAGCATTTAACCATAAACAAGTGAACAGAAATTACTTGCAATTCATTGGGAAAAAGACGACGTAACTTTTTTTTATGTTTACATTGCTTTAAACCCTTAGTTGTAAACTCAACTTGCTTGGTTTTATTAACTTAATGCAACATCACCAGGCTATTATTTATATGACAACTGTACAATTCAGCTGCTGTCTGTAAATGTCGTTAGACGTACAGGAGCGGTTTGGTCTACTGCCACCCTATGTCTTACTTTACTCACACCTAGAAATGTGGTTACTCATAAGTTTTACTGTTGGGGAAATGCAATATACAGGTCATAAGAACTAAGGAAACTGCGGTGCTAATTGTGCATCATGTGTAGCATTTTGCCTTAATTGGTCCTAATTAGAGTTTACCTCAGAGTAATTCATGGTTGGTGTATGACTATAGTCTGTAGATGCTCCACGCCGAAATTTAAGCTAACAGAACGTGCAAGCTTAACAGCGGAAATCTCTACTAAACCAACTTTTGAATGCAATATGAGTGGAAAGAACAGCACACAAGATAACAGACCACGTGAAGAAGAACGTATGTTTGCAGTTCAACGACTATACTGCCATAGACGAGTAATATGGTCTTTTCATTATAAACAACTGCAGTCAGCTGCCCAAAGTAGGGGCAGTCTAAAACGCCCATGTGAATCGCTCATCAAAAGACACTAGCGCCGACGAACGGCAATCTTGCAATACATAATTTATTATATATATTATATATATTATTATATATAGTAGTAGTATATAAACAGGGGTTAATAATGTCGACCACAATTTCCTGTAAATGCCTCCTTAATAAACATTAAGACGTTGGTAGTAAACAAATTTCGTATTTATTTAGCATTATATTTATTGAAACGCCTGTGCCCTGATAGTGATATAAACAAAATTGCGTATTACTATTAGACTTAGTAGCCTAGTAGGTGATACGCTCTTGATATAAATGACTTGCAAAACTACTCGAGAGCATGTGCTCTTTATTTTTAACGTAGCATTTCAGGAAAAACATTTAGGTTTTTGCTTAGCGCAATTGTGCGCAATTGTGCTTTTGTTAGTACAGCAGTAGTTGTGCATGTGTTGTCTAGGCAAAGTTTGTATAGAAATAGATGGGGCGGTACGTGTGATTTATAAGCAAGGNTAATAATGATAATAAATCTTGATACATATAAACACATGTGTTATCTATGATCTCTGTGATTCTTGAGTTTATTGAAGCGCGAGTGGTTTAATTAATTAGCAAGTATCTACGCGCGGTATCGCACAGGCTAATATACGCACGGCTATTGGGCGGTAAGAAAGTGTACAATTAAACTATCATATGGCGCGAACGATTTGAGTTACATTTCTATAAATCTAGCTACACATAGACACATGTCTTGGCTATAATCTCTGTAATTTTTGAGTTTATTGAAGCACGATTAGTCTAATTAATTACTACGGACCATTGTACAGCGTATCCATACAGCGCTGTACTTAAGCGGCAGCGGTGTTGATACATTTGGAAACAACATGGCGTCAAATCCTGAGTTGGCGCAACTCTCTGTATATAGGGACTCTAGGCTATGTATGAGTCACGAGTGTTTGTTCACATCGAACGGAATAGAAAAACAGGAAGTATAGTGCAGCAATTTAACCATAAAAAGTGAACAGAATTACTTGCATTTTGGGAAAAAGTAGACGTAATTTTTTTTATTTTTACATTGCTTTAAACCCTTGAGTTGTAAACTCAACTGCTTGGTTTTATTAACCTAATGAAATCACCAGGGCTATATTTATATGGACACATGTACAATTCAGGCTGTCTGTAATGTCGTTAGACGTACAGAGCTTTGTCATGGGCTTATTTCAGGCATACATGATACACGTATGTGGAATAAAGCTGATACGAGACTATATCCCTGCATTCACACGTACCTCAAAACCCAGTTTTGAATGCGTATCGTACGTACTCCGTACGAAACGTGAATAGCGTGGCCTTGAGTTATACAGCGTTCACACGTATAATCATATGTATCGTCGTATATGCTCGACATGTTGCGCAGTGAGCTTATATATATATATCGTAATCTGCGCATGTTGTTCCGCCCAGTTATACGCGTATAGCTACAGCCGATTGTTCACATGTCCGCTATACGTGTACAAGTGCGTATAGCTATACGAAGTACGCACGAAACGCATGTTTTCTGTCAGTATAGCTATACGTGTTTCAAACAGAGTATAGCTATATGTGGTCGTTCACACAAGGGAAATTTGTCCTGAGTACGAACGAAACTGCGTAAAAATATTGCAAGTGTGCTCGTTCGTATATTTGCAATGTATTGTGCATATATTTGCTTACATTGAATTAAAAGTTGGTAACTTTCATACATTGTGTAAGTGCACATCACGTATTGCAGCTAGCATTGAGAAAATTGCCATTTTTTGACAGGTTTCTAAGAACATACCGACAATGCTGGACTCTGCTTATCTGCAACCTGAACCGTATGGTGTGGTACTTATCTTAGGGGCTTGGAATTACCCAATCCAGCTTACGCTATGCCCGTTAATTGGTGCTATAGCTGCAGGTACAATGTACTCACATATTTTCTGTCTTTTATTAGCTTAAGAAGAAGCAGTTAGTAAATAACCACTTTGATATAATATCTCACATAAGCGATGGAGCTTGTAGGATGATTCTAGCACTGGCGTCATAAAAAAAAAGATTAATAGCACGAAAACAGTGGTAAATGTATAAATAGCAGGTAACATCTGTTGTATTTTGTGATGGTGTTGTGGTGTGAGCCGGGTTTTATCTTGGTTACTTTGTTTAGTACCTCATAATTTAATTCATAAAAAAAACTTTGAATTTTGGGTGTAATGATATTCAGCAGCATGCCAGCAAAGCAAGCAGTTGTGAAGTGACTTGCATACAGAGCAAGCAGGACAACTGCATGCTACACCCACATGTTTAAATTTAGTAAAACTGACGTTGACTTAAAAATACATCCCAAGTTTTGGTTGTTCTCTATTACAGGAAACTGTGCCATCATTAAACCATCGGAAGTGTCACCAGCCACGGCTGAACTGGTTGAAAAACTTATTCCAAGCTATTTAGATCCGGTAAATATTGTAGTGAATTGAACAAGAATATGTTGAATAGCCAATTAATAGCTAATGGCACTTCTATATATGGACTATTTGCACTACATGTAAACTAAGTCATCGAAGATGATGCTGTGCTGTAAATATGTATACATAATGAGTGGAATTAGCTCAGTTAAATGTTTTAATCTACAATTCTACGGAGTTAAATTATTTTTAACCAAAGTTAAAATCTAAAATGATTTGACCTGAGACCTTGAGTGATTACCTAAAAAGTAAGCTTTCCCATATCACTAATAAATGTAGCCAAAAGAATTTTTTACTGCATGTATTCTAAACTCAACAGTCACCTAAAACTAAATGAAGAATGGTTCAGTAATTACCTATTAAAGAGTTTACTAAGAATCTAAACGCATTTTAAGAAATCCTAATCTATATTTATATGACTGAAAAAATGCAATGAATCACGTCTGGCATGTCCTTTGCATTGGACACGTGTTCTACCCCCATCCATCACATCCATTCACAGCACTTACTGTCACTGAACATGACTGTGACTAATATTAATAGTCGGAGTGCCAGCTTGTCATATTGAATCGTGTATGTAATAACTTTTCTCCAGGAATGCTTCAAGGTGGTTAACGGAGGTGTGCCCGAGACAACTGCACTGCTAGACGAGAAGTTTGACTATATCCTATACACGGGTAGCCCAGCAGTCGGCAAGATAGTCTACCAGGCGGCAGCCAAGCACCTCACCCCTGTTACTTTGGAGCTAGGTGGCAAAAAGTAGGTGTGTGGTGACTAGTCACCCTATCTAGCTACACACAAGGTTGACATACTCTTTTCTATATCCTAATAGAATAACATCCAACTAATGATGATGTTATTGCAGTAAGCAGCTGTGTACGAGTTATTTCAGGACAGTAATATTCCCTCCACAGGCATAAAATTTCATGCATTTTCTCACCCGAGCATCGTGTAATTTTCTAACATATTATAAATTAATTACATTGCCAGCATTACACACTCTTTAACACTATAGCATTCTCTGTAAATAAAGAAAAACACACATGTATGGTCAGTAAGATTACGATTGAACGTTTGAACGTTGAATCCGAAATCGCTACATAAAAATGTAATGATAATGAGATCTACGTGCATATCTTTACAATGGCTGTGAGCACTCCTCACTTGTATTTTGACAGACGGCAGGTTTAAATCTAACAAACATTTTGTGTAATTGGTACGTGATATCTAAACAGGTAGCGTAAGACCGGCCTGATGTTAAGTGTATGTCGTCTGTCTGCCTTGCAGCCCCACATATGTTGACAAGAAGTGTGACATGAGAGTAGCTGCCAGAAGGATAGCATGGGGGAAGTGGTGCAACAGTGGACAGATTTGCATATCACCGGACTATGTTCTAATAGAAAAAAATTCACAGGTACATAACAATCCATATTATTGATATATAGTATGTGGTATTATAGAGATATTCATACGAGTCCTATAAGATGGCAACCCATGTTTTGTGCTTGAAATGCTGCATGGAATTTCTTCACATTGGTGTTACAATTTTCTCAATAGGATGCATTCGTGGAGGAAATTAAAAAGGCTGTAAGTGAGTTTTATGGGGAAAATCCAAAGGAGAGCGAAGACTACTGCCGAATGGTCAACAACAGACACTTGCAGTAAGTTGTCGAGATGGTTAGAGGCTAGAGAACTATTTGTTCATCCATACTGCCATACTGTGCATGAAATACACGCACGTGACTACAATTTTACGGAAACGGCAATTGCACGTGATATGACATCTACACAGTTTCCATAAGTGCTGCATCTACTGTAGGAGAGTTAAGAAGCTAATGGAAAATGGCAAGGTGATATATGGAGGTGAGGTGGATGAAGAAAGTAATTACATTGCGCCAACCATACTAGTCGACCTGGATCCAGACCATCCTGCGATGCAAGAAGAGGTTAGTGACGTCTCCTTAGAAATGCAATGCATAGTTCTCTGTAAAGCAATATATCTAGTTATTATTTAGTTATTATTAGTTATTTAGCTCTCCCAGCGTGTACTGGAATGATATTCACTATTCTATCAAACACATGAATCTCAGTTTGTAAAAAATATGGATGCCGTATAATTGTTGCAAGATTCCGTGCCAAACGTTATCATCTAATATCTTTCCATGAACGTATTATTGAATGTTTTGTGATGGTACCCGTTCTCATTCTTAAGGTTGCATTCTGCATTGCTAAATTTTTTATTATTAATTTTTTTTCATATTTTCCGATTAAATTTTAATCATGTGTTTCAGATTTTTGGACCCATTTTAGTTATTCAGAATATCAATGATTTGGACGACGCAGTTACTTACATTAATGAAAGGTAGGTAAAGATCATGCCAATGCTATAAGATTCACTTTAATATTCATATATAGTAATCTTATAATAACATTAGACTTTTTGGCAACATATGGCTATATCTTCTTTGCAATGTGTTGAGTTTTTAAGCAGTCGTATTACAAAAGAGCATGATGGTACTGTCACCTTGCTTTGATGAAACAATATGGATAAATCATTACTCTATTAGATTGTCAACATTTTATTGCAAATGTCAGTATATTGCGACAATGGTAAATTCGTCTCAAACCAGTAGCTCCATCCTCAACGTTTTTATGAATTATGGAACAAGAAGACAGTATATCTTAAATAATAAAGTGTGATAAAATGTATAAATGATAGGTAATGTTGTGATACAAGCTCGTTGTGTATACTGTATGGTAACAGGAGATAGACCAGTAAGTAATTCCAGCTGCAGGTAGTATGCAAATACAAACATGATGTATTTATTGTTCTACCTGTGTATATTAAAAAACAGAAAAAAAGCTTGCCAGTCATAAGGTAGTCAATTATTGTTAAACATTTAAACGTCAAACAATCGCATTGAAACATGCAGAAATTATTACGCACATGAAATACACTGTAATTAGAATAATATAAATTGTTCTTGAATACTTAATGTATGTTTGATGAATCATTTTCAGAGAGAAACCACTGACCCTGTATGCATTTGGAAGTGACAAGAAAGAATTGGAGCAGTTTGTTCACAGAACATCCAGTGGGAGCGTAGTTATCAATGATACATTGATCCACGCATCTCGTAAGAATGACTTGGGTTTTCTGTTTTGGGAGGAAATTTCTCTCATGATCATTCACAAGACACACTGCCAGGATGTGTAGCTGTTACCTAAACCAGCTGTATTTCACCAGGCCCCACTGAAAGCTGTACGTTTACTGATCCATTTGGCAAGCCGTAGCAGATTCCTTGAACTGTCGAATATGGAAAGTGGAACATGAAGAGTTTAACATTGAAAGGCAGTTATTGTGAAGTGACATTAGCTGCGTTCCCACAGGATTCGCGGCCTCGCTGGTTCCGTACTTATCTGGTGCTGAATTCGGCTGAAATTCCGTGCTAACACAACCCGGAGCGTTCACACGAGAATCGAGGCTTAGCTGGCTAGGTATAATATAGACTGGTACCCGGTCGACAGTTCCACATGCACGTCGTGTAGCGAACGGGTACCAGTCTAGGTAAGCGTACTACAGTAAGAGGCCTCGAATTGCGTTCACACGACAGACAATACGCGGCCAGCGTGGTGCCGAATGTTTCAGCGCGGAATGTGATTCTGCGCCGAATAAGCCTCGTATTTCAGTACGGTACTTGCTAAGCCGCATATAAGTCTTGAATATTTGCACTGTGTGAACGCTCAGTACGGAACTGAAATCCTCAGGTGAACGCAGCTATATATGTTCGCCTATTCACTGCAGGAACAGTGAGTAAAACAAAGGTGTAGTTGGTGGAAACAACGGTGGCATTGCATTATGTCACACTCCAACATCGCTTAGCTATTGTTTTATTGCTTTCATGGTAATCTGAAAAGCGCCAGTGCATGTCCATTGCTTTACATAACTATCGAATGAATGAGCATGTCTGTGCATGTGCAGTCGTTTATATCTGCTATACAGCTGAGCATAAATCCAGCAGAGTTACTATGCATTGTACTGTTGAATGTGATATACCAGCGACTGCAGTTGCCTGCAGTAAAAATACCAAGCCCCAGTTAAAATGAGGCTCAAACACTGCTATGTAGCATAATCCGATTATGGTAAATTGTTTCTTCAGTGAACTATAAGAAGACATACAAAAGTGGGACAGGATTAAATTAATTTTGATCTGGGTCATGAAAGGTTTGAGTTTTGCAACAACATCTGTTAAGAATTAAGAAAGTGGTGAATGTTGATAGAGAGGCTAGTAGTAACGCGTTCTTGTCATTGCTGGGGCATTTTAAGGTTGGAAAGAAAGCATATAGTAATCGATGTACAGATTGTAAAATGACATACATTTCCATCCATTGCAGTGCATTCGTTTCCATTTGGCGGTGTTGGACAAAGTGGTATGGGTGGCTATCATGGCAAGTACTCATTTGACACGTTTTCGCATAAGAAGCCCTGCTTGGTGAAGGACCAGTCATTGGAGAGAATTAACAAGTAAGTTCTACTGTTTCTACAGTTTTCTCTAGTGTAGATTACTGTAGTAAAGCCTAGCGCACACACCCGAGCAAAACGGGAAATTTTGTTTTCCAGCGTTTCGCGTTCTGCTCGGCGAGCAAGCGCACACACGCCACCCCAAGGAGCTACTTGCGCCACCCGACACAGCACACAGCTGAGCAAAACATACAGAAACACTGCGTACAGCGCCGCTGTCACATGACATTAAAAATAGCCATCCAATGGACATCCAATTTTGTGTGTGCGAGTGAGTGTTAAGATATTGATTGGAGACGCGTTCACTGTGGCGTTATCCGCTAGTTGTGCGAAAAAACGATTGACCCATCCGACACCCGAGCTAATGAAACTACGCTAAAAGGGGCAATAAATCCCGTTCCGTTAATCAACACTTGCTTTTTCTAGCAAACACGGCTCAGCTGAGCCAATGTTTTTTTGGTTTCGGGAATGATCCGCACCAGCCAGCGTAACATCAGAGAAACACTTTTGCTCCACGTCAGAGGTGTTTTGCTCGGGTGTGGTGCGCTAAGGCCTTAAGGATAATGCTACAGGATGTGAAATACGTGTATTATATTTTTGGTCTGGTTAATAAATATCCTTATTTAATTATTTAACATTTATTGTTCTATTTCAAGCTTACCCGCTATCCCCAACCACCTAATGAACCAGTTGGTGGGTGGGCCAACAAATCATCTAAGCGAGGCGATTCTACACAGAAAAGAAACTAAACTGAGCAATCCTGGTGCGGAATATAGTTACCTTGGCATGAGATTGCCTAGCCGTCCAGTAGTGTTCAATCTAGTAATTCTTATTTGATTAGTTCTTGTAAAAGATTTGCCCGGGCAGGACAACGTCTGTAGCAGGGTACCATGTGATAAATCCAGTATCAGGGGCTGCAAATTCTATTTTTTCTTTTAATTTCTGGTCCATTCTCTATTTTCGCTATTCTGGCTTTGTCCATTTTCTGAAAAATCCAAAATGTATTTATCTTCTCCAGAATGCCGAATTTACCATTCAGGTGAAACCGAAATTTTTTCAAAATTTTCTGGGGAGGACGCCCAGACCACCCACTCCATAAACTTTAATTAGACCGTATATACTCTTTACTCACAGATTTATTTCCAGTAAGAGTTGTTTCTCAGGTTGGTGTGGTATGTGTATCCAGAGGGGGGGTCGCAGGGGTCCAGCTGAATTTATGTTGATTTAATTTTATACCAACAAAACGGGAAAAACACATAAAAGATAATTTCTGCTAAATTTGGAATTCGCATCTTGCATTCTAGACATCAAATTACTGCTGCAGATGCCTCCAGAAGCACGGCAATTTAAAAAAATTCTTGGGGAGGTCCCCTAACCCCCCCCCCCCCCCCTAAGTGGCAACGTGCCTTAGACACGTCGCATACGCTGCCTTCGGCACCTTTTTATGAAAGTGCCCTTCATTTCTTACTGGACCCCCCCTTTTTCAAAAAGCCGGATCCGCCCATGTATACATGTACGTCATACTATTTTGGAGTAGTCTACATGTATGGGTGCTTATGCATGTATAAACTGCTTATCAATTTTAACATGCATTTCTCATTAAAACCTCAAAATATTGTTCGCATGTGATCAGGTGTGATCATATGTGATCGCATGTGACCCTATTATCTACTCCTGATGTGATGTAACTCCAAATATGTATATTAATAAAACCATTTGTGGGGGATCAGGATGGCTGTAGGGGTGTTGGGAGGCCATCTAACACAACAAATATTCCTATTTAACATATATTTTCTTATCAAAATTCCTATTTTCCTCCTATTTTTTCACATCTGAAATTCCTATTTTCCTATTTTTTTAGCGTCACTTGTCACTTGACGCCCTGCAGTATTCATATTGTTTTCTTCTATCAAGTGAGACAAGCTCCCACCGCGTTATAGACAACTACGCTACTTAAGAATTCTAGCATTCGTGTGTTAGTGGAACAAACTACTATATTTTCTGAATGTGATATGATGGAAATTTACAATAAAAACAGAAAATAATATTTGATGCTAGTACGATTGTTATATATGTGACAATGATTGGTTATTGATTATGATATTGTTTTGTGTTTTGTATATGTTGAGAATAAGGTAGTAACTGTAATTGAGCCAATGTTAGAAAGCAATGAACTATGATTTATATATGCAAAAATACAGTTTATATATATATATACACGAATATGAACACATAGTATGACTAATGGTTATTTTTTTAAATAAATATTAGTTTATCTGGTATCACTCACTAGCAATCAAAATCTTGCCAAGCCTATAACTAACACCACATGGCCCATTGTGCTTTTGAACTTGATGTTATTTAATTCTGATTCATGCTGTGGAAACATTCAATTATAGAAGATGTTAATTCAAGTGTTAAAAATGTGAGAGCAACTTCTGTTTGGATGAATACAAAGCCCCCCCCCCCGCGCGCGCGCATGAGCTGGGTCTGCTAGTCCAGGAAACCTGTATTAGTCTCACAGTGTGGAGTCTGGTTTCGTCTGAAATGAATTGCGCTGGTTAAGGAATGCCGGAAATCACTAAAAACCAATGAATATTGATGGATGAATTTAACTGATACTCTATAATGATGGCGTATTTGTGTGTGCTACAGGGAAACTAATCATACCTATATTTAATGTTATATAATTATTATATTGATTGTTATATTTAGAAATATATTTGTGCAAGTTTATGAATAAGTATGATCGAGAAAACTATGAATATACATCTGTAATCACGCATGGATAGCAATTCGATGTAATGTTTATTTGCATTTAGTGTGCGTTTTTAGTCGTTTATTACGATGTTGCAAGTAACAAGTTATAACCGTTCTCACACAGAATTTAATATGTAATTCTACATGTGGTTGGCCCATGACGTACACGCACCCACACGTCACGCAAGTACATGCACGCACTCACGCACGCACGCGCGTGGACACTCCCACCGACATATTGCCACGCGAGAATGTGTATGCATGCAGACGTGCACGCGCCCCACACACGGCTCGCACGCGTGCGTTTGTATCACTTACTGTGTAATTCCATTCCACGCGAACAACAGACATCTCGAAACGTTGACGCGTGCCATTTTGTTATCGCATATCTTCTACCTCTACACACGCGCTGGTGAGATTCTTCTGCATACACACAGTCGGGAGTGAAACCGGCGCAGCGTCCATGCATCCGCCGTGGACAACTCTCCTATACGCTTGCATTGGATGTCAGTCATGTCTTGATGTCTTGGAGAGTGGATGTGTTTAGCTCGCCTAAGCGAACTCGTCGAAGAAATGCATTATTTAATTCGAGCAGCCAACAGACTGCGGCGGAAAAGCATGCAGGAACGAGCTGGCAGCGGACGGCGTCGGAATGGAAACGAGCTGCTTGAGACGGTTGCGGATACACAATTCCTACACACCATAACCGGTTACCTTACAAACAGCTTTTAGGAACAGCTAGCTTATGAAGAACGTTTGTGTTTCTGTATTTGTACAAGAGTTTAAATAATTCTCCGTGCATGTTTTTAAACGACGTTTTTATATTTAAAGTTTTTGTTATTCTGTTTTTAGCTCATCTGACATAGTCAGATGCCGCTTGTAGAATCGCATGAGCGTGCGTCCGTCCGGCCGTGCGTCCGTGCGTCCGTCAACA